TGTTAGCTGTCTGAAGCTTTATTTATAATTTATTTTGGAAAATAAAAATGCCACATTTATTCCCCAAATGTCAAGATTTTCTAGGCATACATAATTAGAATAATAAGGCTAAAGACATTTTAAGCATATTTTATATGTAGTGAGATACTGTGAAATACTAGTGAACAGCATTTTGCTGTGATGTTGATTTCAGTTATTAGAATTTAAAGAGTTAGTCACCAGGTTATGTTAGGTGAACATAGTTATCATTTATTATAAAACAAACAGATATGTTCTGTTTGCATGCAAATTATTTTCATAAGTTGAAAATAAAAGTCTGGGAAATAATATTTTTACTTTTTTAATCTGGACTTCCCTCTTTCCCTAATTTCTATTTTAGGTTTTTTTTAACAACACTCCCTAAAAATGTGTCATAATTTGTATCATATTGAATAATTTATCATTTCAGTTTTCTAGAGATCTTTTAAACCTAAATAAGATCTGGGTTCAGCCATAGCAAAGAAAGTAGGAAACAAGTTCAGAATTCTGCAAATGAAGACCACTGTTCTATTTAGACCCATGAGAATGTACACATGTTTAAGTTTAATCCTATGCTATATCTGAATAGTCAGTAAGCTATAATATTCCTCATGAATGCTAATGTTCTGATTCCAAGCTTTATGATCTTAGCATGTGTATATGTTTATAAAATTGAACCATGTGTTTCTTCTCTGGCTTGCTGTGTGTGTCTCACCTAGCAATAGGATGCTCTCCAAAACATTCACAAACCTACTAGCCTAATAATTAAATTTGTTTTTGTATAAGTGTTTGTGTACTTGTATGTATGTAGCTTTTTTCAAGTTTGACATACCTTCTCCCAGACATTAAAAAAGAGAATATTTTATATGGAGGACACTGTCTACCAATTATTTGCCTCTTTAGAACTCAGCCTGTGCATTTGTTAATGCTTACTCATCCATGTTATGTCTTCTTGATAGCTAATTCTGATTTTGTCATATAACTGTGTCTTTCTACCCTTTTAATTTAATTTGCCTTTTTGTTTATTTTTCTTTCCCTCCCCAGAAATCAGGCTTATTCTAGAATTCTTTCATAAAGTGCTTTGTTTCACCCAGATGCAAAGCAACTGAGTAAGATTTCTAAGTTTCATTCTACACAATTGAGTTCTCATACACCTAAATTAGCTTTCAGATATTTTAAAGTACAGTGCTTTATCTTGTTTTTTTTCTAATCATGTAGGTTGTCATCAGACAATACAGTGATTAAAAGAGAAAAATGTGAATACCACTTCTGACTTTTTAATAAAACTTTTTGAGCATTTTTCAAAGTTTGTAAGTTTTGTGGTAATGATGCACACCTTAGTATATGTATGGAATCATTTTATGCACATTTGCCAACTGGTACTTATCTTTCAAGCTGAATTTTCATGCCCTCAAAAAAAAATGACTCTTAAAACGTGATTTTTCTCTACATCCAGCAATTACAATAACTTTTGGAAATCTGAAATTAATAGTTCTGGGGGAAAGAATAGGAGTTTTGATATTTAAAATCTTTTATTTAAAATGCTATTCACATTCCCCAACATCTTTGTGGCAGGCAAGGTTTTATGAATATTACTGCAATATTCTAAGATCACGTTAAAGCTTGTTTTTAAAATTCATGGTGAAATATTTGCATGTTGTTTTTACTTTACGTGTTTTAGCAGAGTTTCTTCACCAAGTTAATTTACCACATTTACAAAGTTTGGGCTCAAAATCCAATATGAAATTAAATGTTTTCATGGTGCTGTATTTTGTGGAACACAGATAGCACTCAGGTTTCTTGATATTTATTCATTAATATAGTCTTATAATCATAATCCTTGAGTATTTTGTTGCCTTTCCTTTCTTCTCGTGCTTGCTCTTTTATCTCCACTTCTCTTTCACAATAAAGACTGCACTTAACCTAGCGTACTTTAACCAGACTGGAAGTTTCTGATTCATTTTTGAGAAAAATAAAATAGAAAAGCCCTGCAGCTTAGAGTTAAGGTGTGTTTATTTATATGTATAACCCATTTCTTATTCTAATACCTAATTTAATTAAATCTAGACTATGGGACTTAGACATATAAAAGCATGGTAATTATTTTCTAAAAAAATAAAATTATTGATATGTATTGAGATCGCCATTCATAATTTACTTTTAAAATCCCATATTGAAATATCTAGAAACCCAGTTGGAAAATGTGTTTTTGCATATGGCATCAAATACACATTAGGCAGTACTACAAATGTTAATTCTTTAAACAATACTGTGGTGATGGCAATCAGTATTTATTTCTTTCTTCTGTAACTTATCATCCCTGTCTTTTGTAATCCTTTGCACAGTATTAACAAAACTGTACTTTACGTTTGTTCTTAGTGTCCATAAATTTTTAAGATGGAGAAACATTCAGTTAATAGTTGATGTGATGTTGTATATGGGCAGAATGTCTATTAAACTAAAATTCGGTGGGAAAAAAAGTAAACAAAACTGGCTTGGTTTATAAAAGATGTTTTGTTTGGCAGTTGTTGATCATTATAAGCAATTACCTTCAAAGACAAAAAAAAAAATACTGGACAATTTGTTGCCATTCTTTATGGGATGTTTACAATAAAATTCCAAGTGTTTGGAATCAGTTGCACTCTTGCTGCTTTATGCCTTAATTCATACTAGAGATAAATTAACAAGATAAATGAAATATAAAAAATATGATTAATTTTTCTACTATCCCAGTTTAGAGATTGTATTGTGTGATCCTTGGATCTTCTTTGTCATAAGATATTTCATTACTATCTTTTTTTTTTAATTTTAGAAACAGTTGCTTCCTATGAAAGAAAAAATGTTTCCTATGCTTTCTAATATTATTTGGATCACATTTAGGTAATCAATATGATGGTAATACTTTGAAATGTGGGCTGCCTGGGTACCTTAAATGGCAGCCCTCTCCCCCCTAAAAAAGCACTCATCAGCTCTTTGTTCTGCAGAGCTTTTTGAGATGAATAAATTTCTAATATATTTATTGTTAAATTTTAACAGCTGAGCTATGGATACCTAGTATTTCTTATTTGGAGTTAAATTGCCTGTGGGCTTTTAATATATAATAATGGTACTTTAATTTGATGTAAACCTAGGAGAGAGAGAAATTAAGTGAGCCGGGATCTGAATGTTTTACCAAGAATACTCATCCCTGGTCTTAAATCTGTATCCAAAAGTTTTCTCCCAATGTCAAGAATTCTACTGAGTTCAGGATAAATAAGCTGGCTAAAGCCTAGTCTGCATCTTAAGATGCAGGCTCTTAGAATGTCACCTCTTTTCTAGCATTGGACCCATTGACTGACAGCCCAATTTTCACAATACCCAGATTGAGGTCTGGACAAACTTGTTATATTTGTTTAGCTGTGTGATTGATTTAAAATAGCCCTCTTTTATGATGTAAATATGTAACTTCAAAATTTCTGTGTTAGCGGGCTTTGGTATTTTCTTACTTCACCCACTATATTATTTAGATAGAAAAATTAAAGAATTTTTATGACGAAACTTTAATGAAGTATTCAGAAGATTGTTTGCTTTGTTGAGAAGATCAAGAAAAAAAAGTGCTCTTTGCCCTCTCTATTACTTACCACTTACTGCTTAAGGCTACTTTCCAAAAATGCACAAAGTAATTTGAAACTAATACATGGAGCTTGTGAATTAATTTTTAAATGGGATTTTTGGTGCTATGTTTAAGCTCATTTACTTCATTTACTGTTCAAGTTTTTTTTTATATAAGAACTTAAGACAATTTTTTTATGATGCATAATGATGGAAGACCAAATATAACATTAAGTAAAATAAAATTTTTATGGTGTTATTTTTCTCCCAAAATTTGGAGTGACATTTTTCTTTTCTTGTTTTGTAACTTTTTAGTAACCTTGCTTTTGCCATCTGTAGTAACTGACTTAATAAAGTTACTTCTCACCAGAATATAAGCATCTAGTAGCTAATTTTAGCAATATTGTTAGCATACTAACCTTTCAACATATACTGAGGACTTTGAAAACTCTGTGACTCTATATGCTTTTATTAATTTGTAAAGTTCTACTTAATAACATGCCTCTTCAGTGCCCTGAGGGTTTCCAACTCTAAATTTTCTCACAAACATTTTGAGAAATAAAAGCACTTCAAATCATTTGACACAGGTTACTAATATTAACTGATAATGTACTCTGTTCATTCTTAGCGGCGTTTTGTGGTTTGTTTTTGTCCTATTGAAATTCTAACTAGAATTTATATAGGAGCATGTGATTTGTATTAGGTATTTTGTGTACTTCAAGTATTTCAAGTACTTCATGGAAGGCAACTTACCGTGAGGTTTTTCTAGTTTGTCATTTTACAAAATGTCATTTTGAGTAAAATATGCTTCCCAAATTATATAATAGACATTTTAACAGGAGATTTTTTTTTTACCCTTGGGTATTGTTCGTTTGAAATGTCAGTAAGGAAGTGCTGATAGTTCTGGATTGTTTCCATATGTTAAGTTTTAATTTATAAACTAAAGTTTATAAAGTAATTTATAAACCCATGTATACAGAAAGCATAACTTATTTGATCTAATCTGACCTCATAACATAATTTAACCTTGACACTTTTAGTTTCTAAATCTTTTGTCACATATTCTAATTCTTCAACTCAAAATTGTCAGAGTCCAAAGCACATTCTTTCTCTGGAATTGTATGATAATTTTCTTCCTATATAATATTTACTAGCAGGCGTTTGTAGACTGCACTGTACTGTTCCACCCTAGGATTGTTCATCTGTAACTTCTGTGTGTTTTTTTTGGGGGGGGGGTCCCATTTTTAGTTTATTTAAGACCACCTCCTTTTAATTTCCAAATAGAAAATATAAAAGAAACAGAATTGTTTTCAAACACAGAAACAGTGGCTGGAGTTGAAAGTATTGTTGATGGCACTGTCATAGGACGTCAGTGCACTCCAGGGCATTTCAGTATTCCTGAAGAATAAACAAGGTTTTTCTTTCCTCCCGCTCGGTTGTTATCAGCATAAGTCACTGCTGTTTGACATATTTTCCATGTAGGTGATATGGAGCCTCTAAGTCATGCTGACAGTTGGAGTAATCCATCTCTGATCCCAAACCAGAACCAAAGGCTATCAGCCACATTCTTTTTTAAAATTTATTTCTTTATTAATTACAGTTTATTCATTTTGTATCCCAGCTATAGCCCTCTGCCTCATACCCTCATAATCCTTCTCTCCCCATGCCCCTCCCCCACTCCACTGATTGGGGAGATCCTCCTCCCCTTCCATCTGACCCTAGCTTATCAGGTCTCATCAGGACTGGCTGCATTATCCTCCTCTGTGGCCTGGTGAGACTGCTCCCCCAAAAGGAGGGGGTGACCTAAGAGCCAGCCACTGAGTTCATGTCAGAGATGGTGCCTGGTCCTATAATTGGGGAACCCTCTTGGATACTGAGCTGCCATGGGCTACTTCTGTGCAGGGGTTTGAAGTTATTTCCATGCATGGCCCTTGCTTGGAGTATCAGTCTCAGAAAAGACCTCTGGGCCCAGATATTTTTGGTTCTGTTGCTCTTCTTGTGGAGCTCCTGTCCTCTCCAGATCTTTGTATCTCTCCCTTCTTTCATAAGATTCCCTGCACCTGATCCAAAATCGGTACCTAGCTTCAACAACATGTCGGCCATGCACCGGTCCCACTTTCTGCTTAGATCAGACTCAAACATGTCCCCCTCCAGCAGCTTCAGTGCTCCTCAAGGCCGAGCACTTTGTGTGTTTTAAGCACTGTAATTTTTTACAACACTTTAGAGTTTACAAAATTTATTCTTCAAATATAGTCTTAATCGCCAGAAGGACTACCTGTCGACTCCCTTTTCTTTTTTTTTTTTTTCTTTTCAAATGAAAAAAAATAAATTTCAGTAAAACCAGGTAGGTTTGTAGCTAGTAAGTAAATAAAAAACCCTTGATTCGTCCTGGCAGGCAGAGGTGGTGCACGCCTTTAATCCCAACACTGAGGAGACATAGTTAGAGCCTGATCTCTGACTCAAAAAACAAAACAAAAGAGAGAGAGAGAGAAAGAAAGAAAGGAAGGAAAGAGAGAGGAAGGAAGGAAGAAGAAAGAAAGAAAGAAAGAAAGAAAGAAAGAAAGAAAGAAAGAAAGAAAGAAAGAAAGAAAAAGGAAAACATCAAAAACCAAACTTGATTCATCCAGGATACCCACATCTAGGTTTTGTTTTTTTCCCATTGGCTTTTTCTTAGCTCATGCATATAAGCATAACCTGAAGAGAACTTTTCTATTTGCTTCTGGCTCTGTTCCCCCCACCTCCAGTTTTAGTATGTGCTGCCGAGGTGAGCTTATGGTTCATAGTTTTAATGACAATGTTCACTAATGTGTCTTCAAGCTTTTTTTCTACTTCAGGAACATGGTGAGATGATTATAGGATCTGACACCATGGGTAAAGTGAGTCATGAGATTGTTACTGATACTTCCGATGCTGCTTTGTCCACACTGCTCATTGAACTGATGAGAACTATGCCTGGAGTGACCCTTCAGTCAAAACATACTACTGTTTCTTCTCCATTCCTAGATAACTAGAGGGAGTGTAAGTAGCACAGTGTTATTTCATTATGCTATAAAATGATCTGATAGGGCTAGGAGAAAAGGGGTAATAATCCATTCAGGATCAGGATGAAGGTTCTGTTCTTTGTAAAATGTGAAAAGATGGGTAAGTAAGGCTGACTAATTTAGAGTTATGGTAAATACAAATACTAATTTCAAATAAATTGTGGGTGATAGAGAGTGCACAGGGAGAGGAAGAGCAGTAGAGGAAATATGACAAAGCCTTGGGCTCTAAAAGACTAGTTGTAATCAGTAGTAGTGCACACTCACATTTTAGGAAAGGACCAGTGTTGGAAAAGAGAACATGGAATCAAAGGAGAAGTCAGCATAGCTTTTTACAAAAATCAGTGAATGAGTTCTTAAGTAATGATGATATCAGCCCAAATAACAGCTGACATACCTGTAAATGATCTTAACTTTTTCCCTTAAACCAGTGGGTCTTAACCTTCCTGATAATTGCTCCCTTTAGTAGAGTTTCTCATGTTGCGATTTCCAAACATCAAATTATTTGTTGTTACGTCATAACTGTAATTTTGCTACTGTTAGGGATCATAATGTAAATATATGCTATGCAGTATATCTGACATGAGGGAGTTGCGACCCACAGGTTGAGAACCGTTGACTTAGCATTTCAGCACCCTGAAAAATTATCTCGGAAATAAAATCTGAGCACCGTAACCTAAGCACTTTCAATTGTGCACGCTTGTACCCATGACTAATTTCATGCACATCAGGGGGGCTACACTGTAGATAGCTTTCCTGTCTTGAAACTTAGCAGTGGAGTTATTTTTGTTGTTGCTGTTGTTATTGTTATTGTAATCCTGTCTCAGTGAGCACATCAGAGGCCAAAGATAAAAATCAGTGAAATTTAAAGTCTGTCTATTAATAGAAATGTGTGCAAAAATAAATGCTCAAGAAAGTGTAAGAATTTGTAGAGAAAATAAATGAATTATGAAGATTGCGTATACAAGTGTGCTTTACATTGTTACACTAAATGCAAGTCTTCTTACCTTCCATACTATACATGCTTTTGCCAGGTCAAACTTGAAAATATATTTATTATTATTATTATTATTATTATTATTATTATTATTATTTATGTAACAGGTTATGTGAGTTTCAGATGGAAGTTTTTAGAAAATACAAAAAACAAGTTTGTGACTTACTGCTCCCTGGGCTTAATTAATATTCCCCTCCTCCTTGGGCCACTTCAACTTTTTTTCTCAGTATTTAATATCCTCCTCTTTATAACTGGACATTTAAAAATTTATTCTAAAATCTAAACTGTCCAAGACAAATTATTATTTCATTAAGAAAACATCATTTCTCTTTTAATACATAAGACTCTTTGGAATCCTGACCATGACTTCTTTTCTCCTACTTAACACTGGCCAGTGGTGATTGGTAAGAGATTGATTAGTCCTTTACTTAATCTTAAGTAAAGTGAACCTGGGCTTTTGAGATGACTCAGGGGATAAGAGCACCGACTGTTCTTCCAGAGATCCTGAGTTCAATTCCCAGAAACCACATAGTGGCTGAAAATAATACATATAGGGATCCAATGCTCTATTCTGGCAAGTAGGTGTACTTGTGGACAGAGCACACATACATTTAAAAAAAGAAGCAAATTGAACCCTTGAATACCCTAACAGTTCTGGCCAGAAACTCCCTGTGTAGACCAGGCTGGCCTAGAACTGAAAGAGAACTTCTGGCTTCTGCCTCCCCAGTACTGGGATTAAAGACATGGGCCAACAGCCCAGGTTTGCAATGGATTTTTTGAAACCTTCAGGACTGTTTCAGTTGCAGTTGGTTATAATATATCTTATTATTCCTCATGGTGACACTGTTGACCTTCTAATTCTCACATTGCTTGCATTAATAGGATATAACTCAGAAATCTTGTGCTCTTGGTGCTGTGCACTGCCCTGCATGTTTCTCAGTGTGTCTTTAGGTTGGAGTGTCCATATTACTAATTTCTAAGGTTGTTTCTCACTTCTCAACAATTAAGAGATAAAAATTGGGAGGAACAGATGTTTATTTTACAAGTTTTTCCAGAACTGGGCAAAAAGAAATTCTCATTTCCCTCTCTGCCATGCCCTTGGTGAGAGAGATTATTTGGTTAGGTAACAAGATTCTCTCAGGTTGCCTAGGTTCCCTTGGGTAACATTTCTTCATCCTCAGCATGGAATTTCTTGGAGAAATTTAATCCTTAGTGACCCTGACCTTAGGCGAGCTAAGTAGGGAGAGGGTAAGTAAGAAGACGCCCTAAAGTCTCTCTAAGATTCATCTAAGAAAAGAGATGTTAGTGAGTTTGGGGGGGCATAATAAAGAGAAAAAAACTCTTCAATGTTCGGAGTTTGTATGTAATTTGTTCTCAAACAGCAGCTTCAGATACAAATCACTAGAGATAACAGAGAAGCTAAGGTGTGGTTTTGTATTTTTGCTGTAGAATGGATGAAAACAGAGTATTTACATCTATTAGTGGTAATCTACCATTTTAATGTCACAATCTTGGTAGGAAGCTTATAATAAACTTCCTGAAGTGCAAACTTTATTAGGAAGTCATTATCATTAGCTCAATTTACAGATGACAAACTTGCATAGCAAAAAATATTGCTAAAGTTCTTACTGGTAGTAAATGGTAAAGCTTTCCACTTGGATCTTATCAAAGGCTGTGGGCTTGTTTAGTCAGAAGTTTACTGAGTTTCTTTGGTCAAGTCTCTTGTTTTTCTTGGTTCCGTTGCGGTTATCTGTGCTTAGTTGAAATTGAGCATTAACATTTACAGGGCTTCTTGTTCTATTCTTGGAATGTTCTTGCTTGTTCTTTTTGTATCTTCTTAATCTCTAAAGGGAAAAGCTATTGAAGACTTCTCTGCCTCACAAGCTTGGTAAGCCCCATTATCTGAGTTAAAGTTACTTATTTCAAGGCAAATCTTCCCTCTGAATTGTTTGGGAGACTTAATATTTCCTAAGGGAAAGCTTACCAAATGCAGCAATATAAGGAAATTGGACATTGAATAATGGCATAGCAACGTGAACTCCAATGACATTGTTCTCAGTAAACCTTGTGGAAAATATTTTGGAAATCACTAAAAGATGCTAGGAAAGGTCCAGAGGACAAACAGTAAACACACAGATCTAGTAAAAAAAAAAACCTATGACAACTCATTATGTAAGTAAAAATCTGGTATTTAAGGTACCCCTGCTCCCAAACATACATTTTACTCCTGGTTGGAGGAGATATCAGTAACCCTTGGGCCTTGTGCAGTACTCTGTGCATAAACTGGAATTCAGTCTTGCTGCTGCAGACTCAGATGCCAGCCCAGATAACCCTTGCCCCAGCTCGTGAAATATTTACATACCATGAGAAAAGCCTCAGTTACTGCTTTACCCTTCTTAAATTCTCAGCTCTAAGAAAGTGTGGGTGGGGTTGACTTTCATGCAGAAATTTGACATTCCAGAGCCTTGACTCACAGGTTTTGCCTGGGGTAGGGGAGAAACCAGAGAGAAACTCTGAGTAAAAGACCCTAATCTCATCCTAGAGACAGTAAGTATTTCCGTGGAATCTAAAAGTGATCTTAAAGATAGTGGAACCTCTTGACTGTAGTTAGGCACTGTGATAAAAGGCTCACCTATATATGGTGTCTCAAAACAAAGAGATTGTGGAGAAAGGTGACTAGATTTGTAGGCAGAGATTGGGGAGAGCAAAGAAGAAGGCAGTTTTTATTGGATTCCTTTTAAGTGTAATCTATTCCTGCTGTAAATGAATTTTAAGGTGTAGCCAGAAGTAGAAGAGACCTCTAGCAAAGGACTGATTTGTTGGGTTGACTGTGGGCATACTACAAACTGAATTTCATTCAGGAGGAAACTGAGTGCCTTAACAACTGGGATAGAAAATATTTCATTAAGAGAATCCAGCTAGTTACAAAACACATAACCAGGCAAATAACTGTATTAAATGTCTACTCTGGGCTGGAAGGGGGTTGTTCATGCCTAGAGTTGCTAATTATCTAAAAGGCCAGCCACCTTCCAACAAATAGATGCAAGTTATTCAAATGAAAACAAATATCACAGAGGGAAATTAATCCATATAAATAATAACATCAAACATAAATGGACTATATAACACAGTTAATAAATTTAACAAGTTCTGAAAAAAAAAAAACAAGGGCAATTAAGAGAACTCACTGCTCTTTCATGGGACCCAGGTTTGGTTCCTAGAACCT